CAAACAATAGGTTACCACAACAAAACCATAGCTTACCACATCTTACCATATGGTAATAAGTAAAACACACCAGCTTACCACATCTTACCATATGGTAATAAGTAAAATAGAACAGGAGTTATGGTTTAATCCATTCTTTAACAACAAACCTTAGCTTACCACATCATACCATATGGTATTAAACTAAAACAAAACAGGACTTGTGCATTACTACATTTTGTAACATTAAACCATAGATTTATCTAATTTTACCATATCTAACCATATTTTACCATATGGTAACAAACTAGATCACTACAGTAACATCATATAACAGTAGAAATTTTAAGATGATGACTTACCTCTTGGCAAATTTCTTGTTTTTGCATCTTATGTACTCCAGGATGTTGCTGAACATATCATCAGGTGTTGTTTGTGTTGGTGTTGACCATTCAACTGGTGATTTTTGTGACTGTGGAGCAACTGGTTCGACAGCTGGAGAATTCAGGTCCTCTAGGTAAGCATCTATGCATTCACGGACTTCCTTGAGCTTCTCTTGGCTGTTTGTCTACAGATTTGACCATATAGCATATGACTCCGTCTGTGACTGGATGCTTTGTGGCTGTGCTGGCGGTGGTGTTGCTCTTGCCTTCTTTTCATTTCCGTGCACATTCTTTATCACGATTCTTCTTTTGCGAGGCTCTCCTGGTTGATCGGTTGCCGTGTTGGTAGTCAACTTTGTTAGTGTTGTTGGTGTTTGACGGTTGAGAGGGCTGATATCAAAGGATGGAGTGTCGTCTTCCCTTTTCACTTTAGGCTTCTCAACAGCTTCGGTTGTCAGTTTTGGAGCCTCTTCTCGAACAACATCATCTGACACCGTTTTCTCGCTGTCAGTTTCTGCAGTCTTTTGCGCAGCTTGCCCTGTATTCCCTTCTTCTGTTGTTTCCTTATCAACTTCCATTGGATCTGCGGTTTTGGTAGCTCCTTTTTCTTCGGTTTCTTCTGCAGATGTCTGTTCTGGAACTGCTTTCGGGGTGTCCTCTTGTTGTGGTGTTCCCTGATTCAGACCTTCTTCAAAAGATTATTCTGGTGGTTCTGTTGCAACTTCCCCCAGTGGATCTCCTTCTTTTGGGATGCTTTCCCTATTCACAGCTCCTGGAGCAGAATCATCTTGCTCCTTTTCTTTTGGCTTCGGTGTAGATGCAGCAAGATCGACTGTAGATGGTTGTGAATCATCTTCTTTCTGTGTTTGCTCCTCGTTCTCCTCTTCGTTCTGGTCTATGTTTGTCTGTTTGAATATTTCATTGAGTGTTTTATTCAAACTGGCATGCATTTCTTCATCATTCTCTTTTTCATCATCTTCACACTGAGATTTTTCTCCTTCTGTGGGCTGAACATATTCACCACAGCTTTCTTTCGCAAGATTCTCCTTGTGTCTGATCAGATTGTCAATTTGGCTTTTGTACTGGTCTTTGATTGCTTTCATCATTGCCTTCATTGATGCTTCAAGTAGTTTGATTGCATTCTCAGCCTGCATAATGGGAGTATGGTTAGTTACCATGGTGGTAATACATGGTATTGGCAATTATTATCACTATTCTGCATTTTTTATAACATGAAACTATATCTTACCACACCTTACCATATGGTAACAAAGTAAAACAGAACAAGAATTATGGTTTCCTCCATTTTTATAACATGAAACCATTGCTTACCACACATTACCATATGGTAACGTAGTAAAACACAACAGGACTTATGTTTTCCTCCATTTTTATAACATGAAACCATAGCTTACCACACTTTACCATATGGTAGCAAACTAAAACACAGCAGGACTTATGGTTTTTTGCTTTTTTACAACATGAAATCATAGCTTACCACACATTACCATATGGTAACAAAGTAAAACAGAACATGAATTATGGTTTTCTCCATTTTTATAACATGAAACCATTGCTTACCACACATTACCATATGGTAACGAAGTAAACCACAACAGGACTTATGTTTTCCTCCATTTTTATAACATGAAACCATAGTTTACCACACCTTACCATATGGTAAAAAACTAAAACACAGAAGGACTTACGCTTAGCATGAATTGGACAACTGTAATATAGATAATTTGAATTGGACAACTGTAATATAGATAATTTGTACTTACTTGGTTGACTGTTCTGATATTCTTCAAATCAAAGTTCAGTGATGATGACTGCTCTGGACTTTTGTTTCTTTGTCTTTTCGGTGATTCATAGACTGGCTCATTCTCCTCTTCCTCATCAGCTGCATCATCAGCCTCATCGTCACTAATGTTGGCAACCTTTTCGATCTCGTTCAACTGTTTTCCATTGTAGTAGCTCTTAATGTTCTCAAAGTTGCTATCAACATTGTTATCATCATAGTAGCTTACTGTTGGTGTTCGAAGCTGGGTTGAGAATGCCATTTCGTCCAGTTTGTACATGAAGCATACCTTTTTATGCATATAGTTGTATTAGTTTTTTCAAAGAGGATCATTTATATATAAAATATATGAGTAACAAGGTTGAAATGGCCAAGGGAATGGAGACTTACTGTAAGGAAGTGAAGATCTGCATTGACGTAGAGCTTTGATGATTTCAATCCTTCATTCATGTGGTTGAAGAAGTATTTGCACCAGTTGTAGCTGGTGAAATGTTTCAGTTCATCAGTCTTCAAGTACTCAAGCATGTTGAGTTCAGCCATAGGGGCTGAAGTTGGGCACAGCAAGCCTCCGGTGACCAGCAGAAAGAACAATTGTAACCATCTCTTACTGTTTGTAACTGTAGAAAGATCTTTTTCTACCTGACTTAGCTTTACCTTTGGAGTGGATTTTCCATCTACTTCCAGTAGGGTTTCTACTGCATAATCTGCTGCATCGTCCCAAGAAATCGTGGGAGGTACAACTTCCCTATTCCCCATTGGCAGACCATATACCCTATGAAAGTCGATTGGTGATATCTTCATGCGTGTCCCGTCTGGTAGGTTGAAAGATTGTTTCATTGGATTGTATTTGTTCATTACGAACAGTGCAAAATGGTTGTTTATCTTTGTCTGCTTGATTGATATTAAGCCTGCTAGGCCTAATATCTCAAGTTTCTCTTTCTGGTCATCTTTTATAGTCCTTGCAATTGCAGATATTCTTGTTGGGCTGCACCTTGTGCGAAATTTTTTTCTTTGCTTTACCATAGTGTACCTGAATGTAGAAATTAGGAATAGTCTGTTAGCGTGCTTTTTACCATGATATACCATATGGTACCATAATGGTTTCCTAGCATACCAAATCAAACCATATATTTATCACATTTTACCATATGGTAATTACATCAACCCATGTCTTATAACATATTACCATATGGTAACGAAGTAAAACACAACAGGACGTATGTTTTCCTCCATTTTTATAGCATGAAACCATAGCTTACCACACATTACCATATGGTAACAAACTAAAACACAGCAGGACTTATGGTTTTTTGGTATTTTACAAGATGAAACCATAGCTTACCACACTTTACCATATGGTAATAAACTAAAACACAGCAGGACTTATGGTTTTTTTGCTATTTTACAACATGAAACCATAGTTTACCACACATTACCATATGGTAACAAACTAAAACACAGCAGGACTTATGGTTTTTTGCTATTTTACAACATGAAATCATAGTTTACCACACATTACCATATGGTAACAAACTAAAACACAGCAGGAGTTATGGTTTTTTGCTATTTTACAACATGAAACCATAGTTTACCACACATTATCATATGGTAACAAACTAAAACACAGCAGGACTTATGGTTTTTTGCTTATTTACAACATGAAACCATAATTTACCATACATTACCATATGGTAACAAACTAAAACACAGCAGGACTTATGGTTTTTTGCTTATTTACAACATGCAATCATAATTTACCACACATTACCATATGGTAACAAACTAAAACACAGGAGGACTTATGGTTTTTTGCTATTTTACAACATGCAATCATAACTTACCACACATTACCATATGGTAACGAAGCAAAACACAGCAGGACTTATGGTTTTTTGTTATTTTAGAACATGCAATCTTAATTTACCACACATTACCATATGGTAATGAAGCAAAACACAACAGATTCTACATCAGTTCAGCAACGCATGGAGAGTGACTGCGATACTGTTCTATTGTTCTGTGGATGGATTTCGAAGAAAGAAGTGAGGTTTTACCTTGATATTTTGTGCGAAAACGATTTTTGAGCCTCGTTGAAGTTGGAAACTCTTCGTTTTTGACGAAGAAGCGAGAACAGTGTATCGTTGAATGATTCTTCGAAAACCTTTGCGAAAATCGTTTGATTTGAAGTTTTTTCTGGAAGTTTTTGCTGCGATTTTGGTGAGAGAATTGAGAATCGGGAGGAAGAATGGAGAGTTAGAGAGCAGAGAGGGAAGTGGAACTGTCGCTTGAAAGGTGAGAGGAAGAAGGAGAGAAGGCGGGACGGTTGTCGCTGTCACGTCTGCAATTCAAATTGTCAGAGACGTGATTACGTTTTTGCCCCCGCGTGTATTTAATTGCAATGATCTGACGGCTGGGAAGATGGCGCGATGGACGGTCGGATCAACGGTTACTGACCGTTACTGATAGGTCGGTTACTGATAGGATCCGAACCCCAATCTCATCCTTCTCAAGTCTGGTCGTCCAGGCCTTTGGGAGTTATTACCATTGTGTCAAGACTCAAGTGTGATAGAAAGTTCCTAAATAAAAGACATTGATGAATTAGCTCATATGATGGTGAAGACAAAGTGAATTTTTTTTTATGTACATTAGTAGATATACTTTGTATGGATTTTATCAGTTGCAATTGCAAGGGTTGAAATGTTTTTTTTTTTTTTTTAACTTTGCATTACATTAAGAACAAGTTTCGGAATCGAGTAGACGATTAGTTCACAAATCATTATCTAGTAGAATATATTGAAAGACATTTGTTGACCGCTATAGATTCTGCTTGAGAGGAAGACAAAAATAATTTATAATTTATAGCAACCAAACAAACACCAAATTCTAGATGTTTTGCTATATATGTGGTCTATCCAGATATCTGATATACATTAACCAAACAAACATTATACAACAAAATCAATCAATATATACGCAAAGTATATATATATCAATCACACTCAGTATAGCTAGCTTTGGTTGCTTGGTCTCTTCTGGCGATGAGATATAGCCCTCAAAGTCCTGTACATCTCCGAACAAGCCAAAGAGAAATCGCACATTGCCCTGAACAACTCGGGAAGACGAGTCTTCAAGCTCGCCAACGACTTCTCCCTCACCTGAAGGCACAGCCTCTGGTATGCCTCTTCCTCTTCCTCCAGCTGCTTCTTAACAGCATCCACTGTGAACTGCCTCTCAGCAATCGCCTCCTTTATGTTGTTCTCGGGCCTCTCCGGGTCCAGCTCCTCTGGAGTTCTCTTCTGCATGTACTTATTGTACCAGTCCTCAAACTGCCTCGTTTTCCTAGCAAGATCTTTCCGGGTTTCTTCGCACTTCTCCTTCAGCTTCATCTCTTCTTCCTGATGGTGCATAATTGTTTCTATCACCGCGGCAAAGTTGCTGATTGCTGTTCTTGCCACCTCGTCGGGGAGCTTGTCCATGTAGTCGTGCCATGCCATGAGCAGGGGTTGCACTGGAGGGGTTTGGATTCTTGGTGGGGAAGATACTTTTTCTTTCAGGCTGCTCTCAATAGGGACGAGATTCTGCTTTAGCCAGCTGTTGAGGGACTTGATGTATGCTTTCTGGTTGTCGATTAAGCCGCAGAACTGTGCGTGCCATTCACGTACAACTGCCCATAGTTGATAGGTACGGTCGTGGTGGTGCTCGCTGGTTTCCTTCGGAGATTGGGAAATGTCGAGAGATCTCAACGCATAGACTATCTTGGACTGTGCCTCGTGATGGACTCGCATAGCATCCCACATTATTGCCATCCTGCATTTACAACCCACATGGTGGGTGAACAGAGTTAGCTAGTTATTCATCTCAAGCTCTACCAATTCCCATAGTGTTCAACTCTCTGACCAAGATAACTTATTATCTATGCATTCAGCATCTCCACAATAAAAAAAACACAGGCTTCAGTATGTAACTTACCCATCAACTAGCTGGACAAGTTTTGGGTATAGCTGATCATCACGTAGGCGATTTATCTCCAAAACTGTGGAATCCATTGATTGCATATCTACAATGTACCTTGTGTGCAGGTGACTCACAGCTGCTTTTAATTTCTCAAGGGACTCAGGATTGGAGCCCCGTTTCTTCTGCTTATTCAGTAAAGCTACCTTCTTTTGGTACTCAAACTTCATAACTTCACCTGCCTATTCAGCGGTAAGACAAGATCAACCATGTCGATATTTTAAGAACTCATGGAATGCAAAAAATGTTGCATAGCAGAGTAATCAAATTTGAAGAGAAACAACGATCTACCATGACGACGCAAGGAAAAAAGACCACAATATAACACTTCCACTTCATCATCAACAAAACAAGTTTAAAGTGAAATTCTGTTATCGTGAAATCCTGCTCCTTACTAGTCTTGCATGGTAATGAAATACTTAAACATATGCATTATATTACTAGAAACAATGCATCAGAACTCTAAGTAACCAATTCGCAAAAACCTACAGTCCTAACACAATATTACGATCCTTTGGATGGGGCTCCAGAAAAAGAGTTCAAATATGCACTTCTGAACTTACTGAGGAAAAACAATTAAGAGAAGGACAATGTGAATTGTGAAGTGAATCAGTGACACCAAGTCCAGACACTCTAGAATTATCAAAGAACAGAACATGGTAAAAGAGACTTCTTGCCGTCAGTTAAGGTGGACTCGGGCACCAAATTAACTGGGCAGCAGACAATTAAATAGAGAGATTATGGAAGAACAAAGAACTGTTAGGAAAAAATGAATTGTACCTTAACTTCATCATACAACTTCTTCTCCCAAGCTAGCATCTTATCCAGGACAGTTGCAAGAGTTTCATGCTCCTCTGAATCAAAATCGTCATTCCCATCATATACATTAGGAATGCCTTTAAATGACCGATTCCATGTAATGACTCGCATCACTCGGGCAGAGTGATCAATATGGCCTGCAAAATGTCCAGCATTGATACAGAAGATCACTACAAACAGATAACTTCAGCCAATATTATCATAGTAAGTAAACACCGTAAACACCAATAAGAAGCTAATCCACAGATTTGTAATGAGCAAAGGATTGGCCCAAAGAAGGTTAAACTTTTACCCCGATTATCAGCAAAATTGGAGTGATAATGCAATCTCGTGGCCTCGAGCATCTTGGAAACCCCATGAGCACTCTCGTAAGCAGCTAAGAAATGATTGTCCAGCTCCCCAAATATCTGCATTAAGCTCAATCCTTTCATCATTCTCCTCCCTGCTTCATCTCCCACACTGACCTTCTTCGAGGGCTTCTTCTCTACCACTGGAATCGGCACAGGCACCTCCACTGCCTTCTCGACCTTACCCATATCCGGCATTACAACCGGTTCCTCTTCCACCTCCGCCACTCTCTTAGCCTTTTCTTCAAACACCTTACGCGCTGCGATCTCTTCCTTCATCCTTATCTCTTCCTCCTCCTCCTCCTCCTCCTCCACCGGCTCAGCCAGAGTCGGTCCAGGCATGCTTTCCACGGGCGGGAAAAAGTAGTCCCACGTGGTCTCCTGATGCGCAATAGGAGGCGGCCGCATCGCCTCTTCCTGCCTCCTCCTCTGGGGCACCGCCTGCTGCTGCGGCGGCGGCATCGGCGGTTCCTTCTCCATGTAATGATTGCTACTACCAGTACTTCTACTCCCACCCCGCTTCCTCACCAACTTCTCTTCCTCCGGCGGCTCGAATTCCATCTCCTCGTCCTCAATTATAGTCGGCCCCACCGGCTGCTTCATCTCCGGCTTCAGGATCTTCATCTCCGGCATACTCGCGGCCCGCTGCAGCGGAGTTCCTTGGAAATTCGGAGTCCCTTGATACTCTGTCGGCAGCGGTGGAGGCGGGAGAAGCGTGTCGAACGGAGCCTGCGGAGGAGGTGGGGCAGGCGCTGCTACGGGGAAAGCTGAAGAGGAGGAGGAAGAGGGGATCGCGGCGGCGGCAGGGGTGGATAACGACGGAGGGACCTCGCCGTGGGCGAAATCGCTGAGCGCGGCGCCGGTGTTCTTGAGAGACATGGCGTAGGCGGAGTGGGCGGCGGCGAAGGCGTTCCGTGCAGAGACGGCATCTTTCATGAACTGCTTCCGCTCTTTGCAGCGGGTGACTGCTTCTTCGTTCTCGATCTTGGACTGTGAGCACCCCATCGTCGGCGAGACGACTCCGCTTTGACTTCGATTGTGTCGGTGTCGGCGACGGCCGAGGAAGAGGAGGGGAAATTCGGGTTGTGGCGGAAGAATTGGGGGAAACTAGTTGTTTCCCTGGAATGGCGGTGACGGTGATCGCGATGATGTGTGATTCGATATTGATGATGAGGAAGGAGAAAAAGAGGAAAGTGATCGAGACGAAAGCACAAGTAATAATTGGGGGAGTGAAATGTAATTGTGGGGAATACTATGCTCCTTTTTAGTAATACTTAATTCTCTGGGTGATGATTTGCTAATTCGGAGGAACTGCCGTGTTAAGGGGAATTAGGCGTCGGTTTATGCAACCAAACGAGATGGGAAATGAGTAATGACAAAGGCGTCGGGATTGAGAAAATATGTCGGGATTGGAAACGGTGATTTTTTGGGTGCTCAGATCCCTAAACAAAACAATTATATTTTTGTGGTAGATTGAAGGTGATTAATCATCTTCTTATTATTTCAGAAGATAAAAGAATGATAACCTATTGTAAACTAAACCCGTGGGTGTTGACCTTATTCAATAGTATTTTTGTACATTTTTAATTGTGAAACACAATGTCGATATTTTCTGGCTCTAGTTAGAGTGTATAACTATTAGTAAATAAATTTGAACTCATCTTTTTAAGTGGGTTACAGATCTAAGGGTAGAAAATTGAAAATATTTTATTTTTTCTTGTTTTTTTAATCGGTTCTTTGGTTTGACTCGAATTTTAAATTTTTTGCACTGACAGAACGAGTTCGTTGTGCTCTACAAAATAAAATCTATTTTCAATATCTTTTGAGAAAAAAATTTAATGTCTCTCGTTACCAACATCATACCATATGGTATCATCTTCGTTTTTAAGTCATGTTTGAAAAATTTTGCACAGAAGAAACGAGTTCATCATGATCTATTGGATCTACAAATTTCTGGATGAACAAAATACAGGCCAAAAAAATACCACACAATACCACCCTGGTACGGGGTGGTATCTTGTGGTGCACAATGTTGAAAGTCGTAAATGACAGTTGGTATATTCCGACTATCAGGTATCTTGTGGTGCACAATATGCTTTTCATACCATGTGTTATGCTCTTATTTAATATTAGTCAATACCATATAGTATAGACTGGTAAAAATGGCTCAATTTTTTTTGCTACAAAAATATATCAAAGTGGATATCATTTTGAAAAACACAAGAAATATGATCTAACTGTGCAAAAAAAAACGACTTAAAACGAGTGAGAAATCGACCGTTAAAAATTAAAGGGGGAAATTAAAGACTTTACAGGATAGAGAATGAGCGTTGATGTAGCGGATGGTGATTAGGTTATGCATGATTACTCACCACAAAGTTATGCATGAGATCCGTTCCCATATTTTCCTCCGTGCTAATTCAACAAATGGAAATGTACGAGAGTATTATTGAACAACATCATCAAACTCTAATCACCCTCTCTAGATCAGCATAATTAGGAGTGGAAGTTTGAGTTCCGGGTTGGGGATAATCGGCAAACCGCACCAACCCGCACCCATTGTGAGTAACCATACCCACAAGTTATAGGTAGTGGGTTGGATGTGGGTAGCAAAATAATAAATTTTGTGATTAGTGGTTGCCCTCTATCCACCGCGGTTAACCCAGAAATTCATAATGACCACACTAATTATATTTATTTGCTAATAATACTTTATAATATAATAGTATATGAAAAGTGGGAGGCATAAAACTAAAGTAGTCACATAATCAAAACACTATAATCGAGAGAGTGGAAAATAATCGACTCATTAAAAGTTGGCACCTTTAGTAACTTTTATCTGTATGTTTTTGCTTTTGTGTGGAAGAAAATCCAAGATCATATATGAAATCACAGCTCCCTGACACAAAGTTAATACCAAACTCGAAAAGAAAAAATCTCCACGTTAAGTAAGATCGATATAAAAACTATGGGTAAATTGCAAGGTTGGTCACTGAGATTACTAAAAATGTTCATGTTTGGTCACTGAAAATATTTAATTCCATTCATGGTCACTAGGTTTAGTAAAACATTTCAAGTTTGGTCACTCTCCGTCCAACTCCGTTAACTTTAACTGATGTGGCAGTCAACTCTCAAAATTGACCGTTTATTGTGTGACGTGGCAGTTTAAAAATAATAAGAAAATTAATTTTTAAATATTTCACCTAATTATCAGTATTATTAAAGAATAAAAATAAAAACATAATTCTTCTATTAGTCATTTTCTCTTACTTATGGGAATCCAATTATCAGATCTGGAAATTTTTTCCTTCTCTCTTTATTCTGCCGGTATCCTTCTCCACTTCTCCTTCCATGGCGAAGCGAGCAGCAATGAGCAGTGGGACGACGGTGGCTTGGTGGTGGAACGGCGACAATGATCAATGATGGCCTGGCTGATGCCACGATCACAACCGCCGCCATTTTCATTCAATGATTCTGCCACCGCTCACAAACATCTCATTAATGAATGAAGCAAAGAAGCGAAGGGAGGCTAGTAGAAGGAGGTAGGTTAGGTAGAGACGATAGGAAATAGAGGCAAGGTCGGCAGTAGGCGGAATCATCCATTCTCTAGCACCGCCGCTGCAAAAATCCCCTCTATGCCAAAAAAAACCCCCCCTAATTTCTTAGAGAGATTCCTCTCTTACGATTCCGGTGCTTTTCTTCCTTCCTTACCCCAAAACACAATCTCTCTGTTCTTCAACTATAGCCTAGACTTGGAGCTTTTGTTCTCCCCCAGGGTCGGAATTATGTTTCAAGCGAGAACGGGATAGGAGAGAAACGGTGGAAGCGGCGGTGGGCGGCGGCTCTGCGATGTTTTGCTGAGGTCTGGAGGGTAATTTTTCGGGACGGATTCTGTCCCAGCCGTCAGAATTGTAGCTTGGCGGAGAGCTGATTTTTCCCGGCGTCATCTGATCTGAATCCAGCGTTAGCTGGTTCTTTTTTTGGTATCTTTCAACTGAAGAAATTACATCAAGTTCCCCGGCAAAAGCTGATGAGATTCCAGTATAGTATTTGAAAATTGAAGATCGCCGCCCGCACCGTGTCCACCATGAAGACGTCCTCGTCGCAATTGAAGACCGCCGCCACCGCAAGGCCAAAGAGATGGAAGAAGGAGACGATTTGGGTATTTAGTGGAGCCTAGGAAATTATTCCCCCCTATTTGTAGTGGAAATGAGCTGGAAATTCAAAAGATAGATTTTAATTTTTTATTATTTTTAAACTGCAACGTCACACATTTAACGGTCAATTTTGAGAGTTGACTGTCACATCAGCTAAAGTTAACGGAGTTGGACGGAGAGTGACCAAACTTGAAATGTTTTACTAAACCTAGTGACCACGAATGGAATTAAATATTTTCAGTGACCAAACATGAACATTTTTAGTAATCTCAGTGACCAACCTTGCAATTTACCCAAAAAACTATATCTCCACGAACGACACAATTGTATATCTCCATAGTTTTGCTACGAATAACAAATACGTTGGTGGTGGCCTCAAGTCCATACTTACAAATGTGCATTTTTTAACCACACCCATGACCCAACCCGCACCCACAGTGGGTAGTGGTTACCCATGAACCACTGCGGTGTTGGTTGTGGATAGCATAATTTCAAATTTGTAGGTGCAGGTACCCGCAAAATGTGGGCAGGTAACCACACCCGCCCAACTTCCACCCCTAAGCATAATAGTGGGGTAGACTAAACAGAAATGTCTAGTCATACAATCTATCCGAATAGCGCTAAAACTTGGATGAAAAAGATAGAAAAAGCAATTCAACTCATATGTTGAATGAAAACATAATTATTGTTCGATCATGCAACTCACAATTCAACCATTTAAACATATACATGAAAAAGATAGAAAAAGCAATTCAACTCATATGCTGAATGAAAAAAGAATTATTGTTCGATCATGCAACTCACAATTCAACCATTTAAACATATACACATTATTTATTGTGAGCAAATAGGGTACAAAACTCCAATTTGTAAAACCCGATCTTATAATCGTATCACGACATGTATGATACGATAATACGATATCGTGATATAATGATACAACCAGAGTTTTGATGATTTTATAGGCCATCACATAAATGATGAATCAGCATCCACGGACACTTACCTAATCCAACATGATTAGCAAAACCTAGAAAAAGATAAAGAGTGGGTAGTGTTTAAAATGAAGGTCAGTCAAACTTGTTCTTCGAGAATCTCTCTTTTTTAGCTTTGTTATTCATATGATGATGATAGCTACCCGGAAACTTATTTCACAAGGCAGATCTAGTAAACCTGAAAGCAAAAGATGGCTACGATTCTGCTCATATTTCAGTGATGGCGGCTTAGAAAAAGAGGAAAAAGGATGGACACGACAAAGAAAAAATGGGAAGAGGACTTCGAATTTGGAGGGTTTTTTTTAGTTGGCGAAGGAGAATCTCTGAATCTAGTAATTTGCACTTTTAAATTAGGACGGTTATAATAAAATTAGGATGACATTTACCCGCACATGTTTTCTTAGCCTTGCTACAACTTTCATGATTCTTCTTCTACCTTCTTCATTTCAAACTACTTAGTATCTATTGTAGGATGTTTTTTATTGACAAACTGCATTATATTCATATAGAAAATGAGCATGTTGGGCCTAAACTCAAACCTGTAAAACACAATTGCAGCTGGCTGAGGAGGAGTACCCATTTGAGCAACATAGACTTGAACAACCAAAATGGACAAACCAAGAATAATGGGTAGAAGTTATGTCCCTTTTGTCTTGGCTAGGCTCTGCTCCCCATAGGCCACAGCTAATAAGTTCCCTTTTCTTTTCATTTCCTTTTCAGCACATTCTTCTTTTGCTTTCTTTTCCCCAGTTTCTGCCATTTTCCCTTCTTTTGCAGAGGTTTTAAAGTGCCTTTAGCACCGGCCCTCCACCCAAACATGTGCTCCCTCTTAGAATTTTTCCTGTTGTTTCATGAAGAGACTGTCAGATTCACGACAGTTCAAGGCCAACAGAGCAACTCAGGAACCTTACCAACTGCATGCATTTGCATGAATTCAAGAAAACTCGAGCTGAGAATTCTGAGAGCGGGGCGATTTATGTGTCTGTTTATCATATTTAATTTCCCAAAGCTCTAAATCATTTCCTCTCTCGTACTCCCGGATGTACTTTGGAATTCAGGACAGGTCGATGCATCTGCCCACAAATGGAGAGCAGGACTCAAGTTCCTCCTTACATTCTACATCGTTCAAGTATATCGGAGCATTTAATGAAGTGGCAATGGTGGACAAGTAAACACAATCAGAGAATGGGAAGATATTCGCTGATGATTACCTTCTTCGCTCCTTACATAACTCCGGAAATGAGAGTAGCCATTCGCCACGATATCAAGGTCACCGAGGCTGAAATTGTAGCGCTTCTCCAAGGCCAAGTATAAAACCTGCAGCGCAAGGAATAGAGAAAATTAATGACGTTGTAAGTAAGCGGCAAATAACAAACTTCATGTCCTGAAGCACAAACACAATTTTCCTGATGAACTTGCATAATGGGTGGTATAAACAGATACCGACTATTATGTATTCAATGTCAAGCCCCATAGGTTTGAACTGTTATCACTTATCAACATAAATCAGGGGAGAGTTCCATGTCCGTCCTACTTCACTTTTCTAAACATTCATCTTTACCCAGAATGTTAGTTAGTATTCCGCTCACCTTCTCTGAACCCAATGACATTAGTGTCTCCAGCAAGTCAAAAAGAGCATCAGTCAGATCATCACTGTATATTACATCTGCTGCTAGAAGGACAGAAGCATTCTCAGCTTCTTCAACTTCGGATGAGGTCCACCAAACCCTACGTGGACGAGATAAATGAGAGTGATTTCACAAGCTAAACTTTATCCAAATGAGGCAATAGGCATGCTAATAAATATAAATGCAGCAAGGGTGATGACTGGATTCGTCAATAATCAATTCCATGAACAACTTAATGGGAAATAACAAAAGGCCCAGAAGTTTTACCTTTCATGTAAAAAATCATTTCTCGGTCTCACAATGGGGGGCCAGGAATTTTTCCAATCGAGTTCGCGTATATTGATTGAACCTTTATACTGCAATACGTTGCGATTAAGATGAACATTCCTTCCACAATTAACTAGGATTTTGTGACCATGATCTGTAGGCAGTTGCACATAGTGACAGAGGGTAGTTGAAGAACTATTGGAAATGTTGTCTGAACTCCCTATTTCTCAAACATTCCTTTTGCAAAAATATTGAAAACACATAGTTACTGAGGAGTAGAATTCCCTAAACAATCTCAAACATCGATATCACTGGCACATAGGGGTGAAGACATACAGAAATTAGAACAGATTTAGGATAATCCACGTGTTTTCCACTTGTCTTCCATGTTGCCACGAGCAAAAGTGTGACCAACATTAGACACAGCAAACCAGGTAATTTTCATGAATCTGCTTTAGAACAATATCCTTACAAAGTGACCCAAAGACGAATCACCATAAAGAATGTTCACAATTGGAAGACCGCCAAGCCTTACCTGTCAGGAAAACTGTTTTAGCCACGTGTCCAACCAGCATACCTACGAGTCCTGTTTCAGAAGGAGAAAGAAACTCCTTTCACAATCAATACATACATCAAGCATCAGAGTTTCTAATGCGGTTCATAAAGACAGACAAAACCTACTCAAGAAAGATAAGGAACAACTTCAGGTAATCACAAGAATAAGCTTCCAGGGGAAGGCAAACCTATATTAATATTTTCTACATTTCATTTTACTGGGTACTCAACACTCATTGTTGCTCGCCTCCTGCCTGTCCTCTTACATACTGCCATTTTCTTGCAATAGCTTCATGTTCTGATGACATGCATCATACACGAAACAAGACCTAAATCCTCTTCTAACAGAGTAGCTTCTTACAGACCAACCAATCCTAAGAGATATGACATCATAACTTATCAACAATCAAAGTTTGGTATCTGTTCACAAAACAAACAAACAAAAAAACAACAGGATAGGAAAAAGGAGATCATGGGGCCAGTGAAAAAGATGGCAGAGCTACACAGCAGTTATGGCTTCACATAGTCAAGCAATATCAGTATCACAGCCATAAACAAACTGTTCTGATATAAGCAAATAATATTGAACCTGTCCCAGCTCCAAGTTCTAATGAAATAATCCCATCGAATTCTGACGAAAAAAGCATTTTATGCAGCACGAAGTCTGACAATACTAGCTCAGCCTTCCAAACCTGAGAGTCGAAGAACCAGATTGAATGAAAAAATTCAACCAAACGTCGTAACAAGTTCGTGTTAACACATTTCGGTCACCTGTAAACCAACACCCCGTATTGATGACGTGATAATATGCTGGATAGCGAGTTTAACATTCCCGCCATCTGCACAGTTAAATGCAAGCAAGATGAAGACTAAGGCATAACAAAAACGAGACTATAACCAAATTAAGGAAACCTACCCTGATAGCTACTACGTCTGGTCAAAACAAGATCACCATCATCATCTACGTCCAAAGGCTTATCCATGGGAACTTGCTCTCTTCTTTTGAACAGACCGCTACATCTGCAGCTGTCAACACCTGAATACCCCAAGAGGAGTTGGATTTTTTCATCAGAAAATCCTTATCCCTTCTTGCCTGTAACCCGTTCGATGAAATGCTTGAAAGAAAGGGGGAAAGAAATGAAATTACCGGTCGGGATTGGGATTGTGAAATACGTAACATGAAGGGCAGAGGAATTAGATGGACACCCAAGATGCACCTCGCTCGTCACATCCTTCTCCTCCCCGAAATCCTCGCCGCCGTCCATTCGCTTCGTGGAACTATGTCGCCACCTTTCTTCCCGCTCGTCAAGCCATGATGAATTCCAGAGTGTTAATATGTATTAATTGGTAGTTTGGATCAAGAAAAGAGAGGCAGAGATTTGATTAGTTCCCACGTTTGGATAGCTCTAAAAATAACATAGATTTTGCTTCAAAAAAAATGACATAGATTTGGGCCACCGAAAATTTAAAATTCGGCTCAATCCGGAATTAAAAATAGTTGCTAGGCCCTAAATATTCTCTATGTTTGGCTCGATTCTTAGAAGTGCTTTTCGACTTTAAAAGCTGAAGTAGGGCTAAACACCTCTAAAAACTCGGCTTTTGAAAAGCGGAAAGCACTTTTGTATAACATAAAAGCAGAAGCTCCGATATAAAAAAAATATAAGATTATTCTTACCATATTTTAATTTTATTTCAGAAAATATTAGTTTCCTTCATTTATATTATTTGAAAAATAGAAGAAATTATAAAATCATATTATTTAATATAAAAGAAATCTAACAAGATCCATTTTGACTACTTTTTATTGTTTAGATTTTTTATTCATATGTTATATTATAAGTCCTTTATAGTCGTTTTACACAACCTCTCATATTAAAAAGCACTTCTAATAGTTTTACAGCCAAACACTCAACTGTTTTTTTATTTTTTTAAAGTACTAATATGAAAGCTCCAGCCAGAAGCTGCTTCTGCAAAAGCTACAGCAGGACCAAACTAAGTTTTAAAATCCAACCTTAAGTTTTGGGTTTCTTCCAAACGTGTACCTGATATTTTTTTTGTTATTCCTTTATACCCTTAATCACAATTCTACAGACATAACTCTCATTCTTCCCATCTGTGAGAAGCCTCTCCCCAAACCTACAGTCCCGATAGTAAGAAGTTGTAGATCTCGGCTAGAGCAGGACGCACGGTGCCTCTTGAGTCTTGATGGTGAAGGAAGCGAGAGTGAGCGACCTCACTTGAGCTTCCTCAACAGACGAGTCTACTACAACAAGATACCAGGTTCGTCACCTTCACCTTCTGGAGTCTGGTTCCGATTCCATGGTTCCTACGGTGCCTGATTGTGTTGCTCGATTCGAGGGGTTAGGGAAGGAATCGAGGGGTTAGGGGTTAGGGAAGGAATTGGTAGTACATAGCTTTTCTGGGCTTCCCTTTTGCAGGTTCTCTCCTCTGTTTTTCTTCTTTTCAATCACCATGGGTTTCGTTGTTTTTTATCTAGATCTGTGCGCTATTTTCATGGAACCATTTAGTGAACAGAAAAGTGCAGAGAAATCGAGGAAATCGTCAAGCCCAGGAATGAGATTGTAGAAACAACTGATACTTTAGCTAGAACAAAGAAAAGGGATGGTGGTCGGGGATTCGAACAAGACGAGCCGGAGACGACGGAGCGTCGTTGGAGGTTATACGAGGAAGGTGGAGAAAGAGACGACGGAGGTCCTCCCGATTTGAAGTTGGGTGATGCAACTCTAATTTGTTTGGGGAAGACGAAGACTTTCAATGGGAGTGGTGTGAGGGAGATCGAAGAAAGCAACGGCAGAGTGAAGAAGCCGGTGAAGGTCATCTGAATTCGGTGAAGGGTGTATTTGTAATTTCTAGAATTGCTGTTAAATTCTCTAATAATAAATCTCTCATCCATAAACAAACAAAAGATTTAACCAAAACCTGGGTTTAAAATACTGAGGTTTTTAATTGAGTCATTGTGCGCGAAATTGCTCATTAGCTAAATTCTTAATCCAAACGACCCCAATAAGAATTTTCCATAATTATTATTAACCTCAGTGGTATCTTATCAAGAGACCATATACATAAATATTACACTATTTTCTTTCTCTTTTATTTCTTTAATCATATTGATACATTATATCTACTTTTATTTAATCTCCAAAAGCCACATATTTTCCTTTTCCTTTTATTTATTTTCTTTTAGTCACATGAACTTTTTATTTTCCGAGGAAAAAATTAAATGTATCTCATTAAAACGTGCGTCAAAAACAATAAGAGACTCTTTACAAGTTGATGAGATCCACTACTATACGACTACAACTCTACTATTTGCATACCTTGTTTTTTTCTACTATCTCCTTATATTATCAGCAGTCCAACCTTCTCCAAGTCATCATCAATATACGGTCTTCCACCAGCAATACAGTTGAGTTCACTGATTTGCAAAGTTGAAGTTATAATCCTACGGTCATATTCCACAAGGTCTTCTAATGCATAACTACTCACAACATACCATCTTAGAAACACTAATAAACGATAGAGACATTTATGGGTTTTTATTCAAAACAAGCAAGGAAAAGTAAGCGGGAAGAGTAAAGTTGTTTAGGATTTTCGATTTATAGATGCATAAAAGTAAAGATATGCTACTACATAGGAAAGCGAAGGATTTGAAAATTGAAGGATTTGGGGGGAAATTTTATACCTAGAGAGTAAATTTTAGAGTAAATTTTGAGTATTGCAGGTGGAATTAGTGATTGAAAGTTGAAGGATTTGGGGGGAAATTTTATACCTAGAGAGAAGGGAGAGGGTTTTCGGCTGAGATGAAATGAAGTAAAAAATGAGGGGATGTGGGGTGATGGTGGCCAAAATGGGGGATTTTATAGGCCCTAGGGCAGCGGCGGGGGTACGGCAGGTGTGGCCGCCGCTGCTTCACTTTGTGTTTTGCGTCGCTTTCCAGTATTTTTTCGTTAGAACACTTACCTCAGCAGAACACATATTGATTTTTGTACTATTCTCACGTCATCAAATCCTTATTTCTCGTCATAAGTTCAAAACTTTGCTCCAAATGTAACACTTATCCGAGGGATACATTGAATTCCTCCAATGAGCAACTCAAAATTTCAAGCCAAAATAACTTTGATATATTAAAAATTAACTACGAAAAGAGAAATATGGGAAACTCCTTGGTAGCACTTTTGTTTAGGTCATTAAGTTTGATGCCAGACATGGGTTGCCTCCCATTAAGCGCTCTTTCTTTTATGCCTTTAAGCTATACTCAGTGAGGCTCCCTTTTAGTTGATTTCAGATCAAGCTTTAACTTCATCTTCATCTCCTCGTCGCATTGCAAGGATTGGTTCATTGTTTATCTCGATAGGTTGATGACGATTGATGAACTCTTGATACTCTTTTCATGTATCATACTCTAGCTCATCGATTTTTTGAAGCATCGTCTTTTGCCTTGTAATGGAAATCCTGAGTGCCATTTCAGCTAGCTTTAGATAAGGAATTGGGGGAACCTCCTTCAACTCGCCTCCATACTTTGGGTATTGATCATGTTGATGAACTATTATGTTTGTTGAATCCTAAAATAGATAATCAAATCAAAATTTAATCGTATTCTCTAGATCCTCCTTTGAATACTCCTCGATTTCATCACTTCTTTTGATTTAACTTCTCCACTTTATACATGAGCTTTCTCACATGTAAAGTTACTAATCCGTTGAGAGCATCAATTATTTCTCCATCAGTGGCAAGGAATGACCTTCCAATTAGGAATACTCTTTGCTTGTTTCCATGTCAATCATGTGGTAGTTGGGAAAGAAAATGATCGGGCCAACTTGGGTGTGTAAGACTCGAACAACACCAAAAGCTCAACAAGTGGTGTTGTTGGCTAGCTTGATCTCTAAGTTAACGTACTCCATGTTAGATATTATCATCTCTTCATATAGATGCAGTGGTAGTATGTTGACACCTGAGCCAAGGTCAACAAGACCTTTTTCCATGTGATGGGCATCGAGAAGACATTTGATGATGCAATGTCCGAGATTCTCCTTTGCTTCATTGACTAAGACAAATTATTTGTAACCCCAAGGGGTTTTCTTGATCGTGGCCTCTTTATCTTCAAACATTTCATCTTCCTCCATGAAAATCTCGAGCTTCCCTTTAAGATCTTCCATGGAAATCATGTTCTCCAATATTGGCACTGCCACTTCTACTCCCCCAAAAGCTTTTATCAGATTTCTGAAGAGGGATGGATACTCAGCTCCTTTCTTCATTTCTTTCTTTTGTAATGTCCGAGATTCTCCTTTGCTTCATTGAATAAGACAAATTATTTGTAACCCCAAGGAGTTTTCTTGATCGTTGCATCTTTATCTCGTCTTCCTCCATGAAAATCTCTAGCTTTCCTTTAAGATCTTCCATGGAAATCATGTTCTCCAATATTGGCACTGCCACTTCTACTCCTCCAAAACTTTTATCAGATTTCGGAAGAGGGATGGATACTTCGCTCCTTTCTTCTTTTCTTCCTTTTTCATACTTGGGAAACTTTTGGTTGTTTCAATCCTTGTCGAGATGACTTTTTCTTCCTCATTCTTTGGATTATTCTTTATTGCTTGGGAGGTTTCTTTGAGACTTTTGAGGTTAGGCATCGATTAGGAGTGCAAGTTATCTTTCGATGTTCTTGTAGCTCGTTTGTAATCATATCATAGTTGCCTTTAGCTTCTTAAATATGGTGGGTTGATGATTGGAGACACATTCTCCTCGTGCCTTGTATTGAGGTTGATTGTCAAATCCAAGTAGACTTGGTTTCTTTTTCCATTGTGCTTCATAAGGTGCATCGGTAGAGGTATTTTTAGGGTAGTCCTCAGGCCTCTTTCCTCCGAGGAATACATTGACCATACGGTATGCGAGGTTGGTTGAATATTTGATAAGGAGGATAGCTCCCTTGTTAAGGTCTTTGATTGATAACATTGATTTATATAGTTGACATCATCATATGTCGTTGCGCTCCTTGGCTATAGCAGTCTAACCCTTCATGATCTTTTTCTCCACCTGCTCACAAATTAACAAAGATGCCACCGGTCCATTTTTCGGCTTCATTAAAGCTTTCTTGAGTTGTTGGGTCACCTCCTTCATGTGCAAAAACAATGGCGACTTCATCCTCCCTTCCTTGGGCATCTTTCAATCGCTTGATCGTTGAAGGACGCTTGGACTAGTTATTTAACTTCTTTGCTAGTGTGGCAAAATTTTCTTGGCATTACACCCCCATCATTGTCGTGAAATCTCCATCGGTCGGCTGTTTACCATCATCTTGGTGTCTCGATGGCAACAGTTTTGATAAAATCATTGTGTACCACGACGAATGTGTCCAAGTTTAATTATTTTGGAAATCTTCTACAAAT